ACCTACCGCTCACCTACCACCGCTCACCTACCGCTCACCTACCGCTCAACTACCGCTTACCTACCTCCCACCTACCACTCTCTTGCTTCTATAAATAGAGAGGGTGTGAGGCTTAGGAGTGCAAGGGAAGAGATCTTAAGCTACCACAAAGGAGGAGAGAATAGCTAGAGAGCTAGAGAGGAGGAGAGTATCTTGAGCCCTTGTATCAAGGTGTCGCTTGAAAGGGAGGTCATAGAAGGAAGATGAGGGATCATCTTTATGTATAAGCTATGCATTCTCCATTTCTTTTGCCTTAGTGAATTATTTGATTGATTCCATCCGTGGACGTAGATCCAGTTGGATCGAACCACGTAAATGATCTGTGTTTGCTTGTATTCTTTGCGTGTCATTTCTATACTAGGAAGTACATATCTAACAACAATTGACATCGTCTATGGGAAGATCCATACTTCTTGGAAAAAGGTGTTCACGGCCAGCGACGAAGAAGAGGAGTTTGACATTCACGAACAGAGGAGCAAGCGGATCGCGCCGCAGGCAGCCGAATTGCTACAGATTACAGATTCGGTGAGCAGTGGAAGCTTTGATTGACTGGATTTGCACCGCAGGTTGTGCGGTTCAGTGAGACAGAGGAGGAACAGTCTGCGAGTGAGGGCTGAAAATTTGCGACAGGGCTGCCAGCAGAGGATTTCAGAGCAGAAGTTCGGTCTTGCGAGCAGCTCGGCCAAAGGGAAGAGGCGGAGATCACGCAGAGAACTGTTTGGGGAGTTCCCTGTTCGGGAGTTCGCAAAGAAGGAAGAACTGAGCAGTTTGGCGAGGCGCGACGGCTCTGGAGAGGCAGTTCTTCTTGTGCGAGAGGCAGAGGAGGAATTCCTGATTTGTTCCGCTGGACGCAGAGGAGTGCCTACGGGAAGGAGGCGCGAGCACAGAACAGGAAGTTTTCTCCGGTGAACAGGCGTGATCTCTGTCAGAAGGGATCGGAGCTCTCCGTTCGGTTGGCGAAGGCAGGGGGGGTCTCCGGGGGAGTAAGAAATTTGGTGAGAACTTATTGGACAGCAAGACGTTAAAAGATAGGTTTAAGCTGAAAACTTTTGGTTGCTATACAATAGTACAGCATTTTGGTGATTTCAGCATAGTTCTTGGAAGGGCAGCAGGTAGAATTCATTGGAAGAAATCCTAG